ACCCCCGCCCTTAATTCTAGCTATTAGTTTTTATTTCAGTTCAGTTGGTGGAACCTGGAAAAAATCATACATAGGTTTTGTGAGCCTGCCATCTATCTAAACTTGCCCTGGATATTACTGGAGAGGGGACAGCATCTGCCAAGATGCTTATTGGATACACACGTATGCCAGAAAGAGTTTGAAATGAGCTGGTAGAAGAATGCTGATGTGTTAGAATGGATTATCCTACTTCAAGCTGTTTTAATGCATTAAAAATCCCTGCAAGTGAAAGCAGAGAGCCTGTGCAGTTTTTTTCTGTTGGATTAGAACTTTGTAGATCAAGGTTCATATGCCTATTCAGCCATGGATATCCCCTAAGTGGCTGCATTATTTATGAATAAGTCTTGCTAAGAAAACCTTATGAAAGAGTCACCATAATTTGGAGTCAACTTGAAGGCACACAGCAACAACAAAGTAGGGAAATGTGTATAATGAAGCAGGAAGGGGAGGGAGAACCCAGCTAGAACTTTTTTCATTTTTTAAAAGTCAACCCCAGCACAAAATTTTATATGCCTGTATATTCACATCCAATAGACTTTCTTCTAGTCCCAAATACCTGGGAGCTTACTATGCTGAATCAAAGAGAAAGGCAATCTCTGCATATTCAACAATACTGGTATATTCAGCAATACTTTATGTAGTGTAAGTTGATGGGTTTTTTTTGCTTATGTCAAGATGCAGGACTCTTTGTGTTTGTGAAATGAAGGACTCCTAATATTAGAAACTATTGTGCGCCTGTTTCATGTTTCCCTCCATAGTAAATTTTCATTTCTGGATGACCAGAAAAAGAGGCACAGTGGGAGAATTCAAGGGGAATATACATCAAAGACAACATTGAATGAATCCCTGAAAAACCGTGAATGGGGCAGGATGACTTTGTTCCATTGTTCAAGGGTCCTTTCAAACTACACATTATAACTATGGTTGCACTCTAACTGCCATATGTCCATCCTATGGAATCCTGGATTTTGTAGTTTAAGGAGAGGTACATAGATTTCTGATCCAGAAAGCTACAGTTTCACACTCAACTACAAACCTTAAACTTCTATAGGAATCAGCTTAGGTCCCCAAATTAGTCAAAATCCATAAACCTGAATGTGCAAACTTACTTTCTGTTGCACTCTATTTTATTTATTTATTTGGAATATTTATATCCCATCCTTTTCAACCTCCGAAGAGGGACTCAGTATGGCTATCCACAGGCACTATTCAATGCCAACACACACACACACATAAAACATAGCATAAAGTACAGTTAGTAGAAATTAAGACAGTTAAAAATATACATTGCATTAAAACAGTTTGCCAGTTCAAAACGTTATCCTAAAAACAGTCCATTGTCATCCATTAAAACATTGTCTTTCCCAGCAAATCAGTCTGTTCTGCAAACTCTTGATCCCACATCCAGGATTTGAGTTTCTTCCAGAAGGTCAGGAGAGAGGGGGTGATCTGATCTCATTATGGAGGGAGTTCCACAATCTAGGGGCCACCACGGAGAAGGCCCTGTCTCTTGTCCCCACCAAACATAACTGCAAAGGTGGTGGGACCGAGAGCAGGGTCTGTAGATGATCTTAAGGTCCTTGATGATTTGTAGAGGGAGATACATTCAGACAGGTAAATCTTTTCATCCCACACCACACCAGAGTCCAGTAGTACTAACTGTTGGAATTCAACCCCACACTGCCCAAGTCTCAAGTCCTCAATGAGGAACAATTTAGTTAGCTTGGAATAGGCTGGTTTCCATTCCCTCATGTCTCCTGTATGACAGTTGGGAATGTACGGTATCTATTTCTTCTCTCCTCTCTGTTTCTGCTCTCATTCTGATTGGTTGTGTAGAATGGATACTACTGCAAGTCGTTACTTTGACTTCTGTTTCTTAATAATAATAATAATTTATTTATTTATTTATTTACTTATTTGTATCCTACTTTATCTCCCTGAGGGGACTCAGGATGGTTTCCAACATAGGTAAAGCATTGCACTTATCAATATGAGAACATACAGAATACTCATTAAAAATCATTAAAACACAAAAAAATCATACTATATAACAGGCATACATATTCAAAAAGCCAGTTCAGTATTAATTTCTTACATCTGAGTATGTGCTGTGTGCTTTGAGATCTCTCTCTGCATGTGTGTCAGAGAGATGTAGTGATTGATGTTTTTCCCCCTCTCTTGAAACCTTTGAAGAAATGGGTGTTAGAGTAGCTCAGACCCAGTTCTTTACCATGAAGAAATGTAATTAGTTCTTTATTATTGTAAATAAACCTTTTGTGAATTTTTAAAAAATTGCACTCTGCATCTTTGCCTGCCTAAGCTCTAAATTCTTTACAGCCACAACCAATGGCACTTCATGCTCAGCTCGCTAATGAGTTGAATGCTCAACTTTAAGTATCCTGTTTATATTTTGGATGTTCTGCTTTATTTTAGGATAGTTTTCCCCAACACTAACTACAGCAGGTAATTGAGTAAAGCATGTACAAAGAGAGAAAAAGGCATTTCCCAAAAGAGCAGCAGGGAAGGAAATACAAAAGAGCAGCAGTCCATAAACAAAACAGTAGCAATCCAAAAATGGAAAGGTACATAGAATCAAAAGACCCAAAAACTCAGGCATAAATCCATAAGCATGAAAACAGGAACTTTTTCAAGGCAAGCCCTTCCAGGAACATAGACAAACACAAGGATCACGAACTTGAACATAGGCAAATATAGGAACTTGAGAGCCGAGACAGGAGTCATTTCCTTATAGCAATGTTGTCTCCACTGAAGGCACCAAGTAAACATCACTTAATTTAAACACAAGCCTGACCAAGAAGCCATGAGATCATGTCTAACACACCTGGTCTTCAAGGCCTTCCCGCGAGTCTTCTCACAGACTCACTTAGAATGCCTAATTTCACTCCCTCCATCTGGAGAAATCAACTGAAAGTCATTTCACATGGGAAGTGCAATCTTCACTGTCTGTAGCTTGGGAACAAGCACCAGAATCCCACACAGGGCCTCTTCGGCCTGCAGTTCCCTCAAGTCACTAACAGATGCTGCACTTTGAAACCCATCAATTCCCTCATTCTTTGAAAAATGCCAGAAAAATCCCCCGTCACTTCCTGAGCCACAATACTTTCAGTGTTTCTGGCATGTCTTTTTAATTGATTTTCAGTGAAAAATGTGTATATGTTGCCTATCCCAGGCATGAAAACTGCCCCCCCCACCTCACCAAAGCAGCTCACCTGTGTCTCAGAACATGTTTGCTGGGGGATGTTGTCAAAAAGAAACTTTCCCCAAAAGAATTGGTAGGTACATCAAGTGCAAAATTGGGAGGGAATCCTACACCTTTCATGTGAGAAGTTTTTGGCAGTTCCTGAAAAGTTCAGGGGGGATGCCTGCATCTTCCCAACAGGATTATACAGGCAATAGAGGAGCCCTGTTACCTAACGTGTAATTAGCTTTTATAAAATGAGCAATACAAATACAAGAAAAAGTAGATGACAGGCAGTAATTATACCATCTTAGCATAGTAACTAGCATATAGTTTGAGGAATAAGTGGAATTCAGGGAATGGGGTTGTTTGAGGACACTTAAAACAAAAAAGAAATCCAGTTTTTCAGTCACTGGGTTGCTGTGGGTTTTCTGGGCTGCATGGCCATGTCCCAGAAGTATTCTGTTGGAAACTAGGCAAGTGGGTTTTATATATCTGTGGAATGTCCAGGTTGGGAAAAAGAACTCTTGTCTGCTGGAAGCAAGTGTGAATGTTGCAATTGGCCACCTTGATTAGTATTTAATGGCCTTGCAGCTTCAAAGTCTGGATGGTTGCTTACTTGATGCCTTTATCGAGCCATTATTGTTAAAATAGAGACCTGTGTTTTATCAAATAAAAAATTGTTTTGTTATCTGGGAATTATGTAAATAGTACCTCAACCCATCTGGAGGGTTTTGGGTTAGCACAAATATATATTATCTCCCTTTTCTGTTGTGGGGAGGAGGAAGACCCAGTTTAGAGACGGTGTTATTATTATGCTTCCATCTCTGCTTGGATAACATGTATCCCAATAACTACCTCACATTCCTGAGTAAGCACTTACTATTCACAGGATACTGCTTCCTGATTACACTTTCTAACCAAAACTCAACCATGAAATTTTCTCAGAAATTTTCTAAGCTTCATCTTGGTTTGTCAGAATTAAGCATTTCCCTGGTTCTGAGGGCATAGGAGAGTTGTTTCGGAGTCATTTAAAACACTGTTTAATTCTGCAATTGGTGATATTTTCTCCTAAGCTGACTCACTTGTACTTTCCCCATCAATGGGGTACCACATCTAAACTCATCCAAAACCTGCCAGGAATATACCTGTGATTGCTTAGTCAGTAGGCAGAAATGATCTTTAGACAAAGATACCTTATAGTTGGGTTGTTGTGTGTTTTCTGAGCTGTATGGCCATGTTCCAAAAGCATTCTCTCCTGACGTTTTGCCTTCATCTATGGCAGGCATACTGAATGGTTGTGAGGTCTGTTGAAAACTAGGAAAATGAGGTTCATATATGTCCAAGGTGGAAAGAACTCTTGTCTGTTTGAGGTAGGTGTGAATGTAACAATTGACCACCTTGATTAGCAGCCCCATTTTCCTAGTTTCCAACAGACCTCACAACCTCTGAGGATGTTTGCCATAGATGCAGGTGAAACGTCAGGAAAGAATGCTTCTGAAACATGGCCATGCAGTCCGGAAAATACACAGCAACCCAGTGAAAGCCTTCGACAACACATTATCTTATAGTTATTGATCAATGTTTATGTCATAAGGCTGAGCTTTAGTATTCAGTCTCTGGGACTCACTCCTTTTAGACTTTTGTGCTCAGTTGAGCCAAGTTCAGTTTGAGTTGACTTGAATTTAAGCTCAAGACGTTCAACTTCTTCTTCCTCCTTTTCTTCTTTCCTCTCTCTCCCTTTCCCTTTCCCTCTGAGCAGAGACCATCCGCACAGCAACCCCTTTCCCCATGGTCAGCCTCTTCCTCGTCTTCACAGCATTTGTCATTAGCAACATTGGACATATCCGCCCCCAGAGGACCATCCTAGCCTTCGTTTCTGGAATCTTCTTCATCCTCTCTGGTAAGACGTGGAGGAGAAGCATTTGACAGTGGGCTATTTCATCAGAGTCTGTGTTGTTGGCAATGACTGGAGGATTCGGGGAGGTGTCGTCCAACAAAGAGTGTCTCTGTTCTGAGGATAGCTTGGGATAGTGTAGATCAAGAAAAAATTTACTGAGGTGGACCACAATGTTCCTCTTTGTTGGAAAAAGTCTGGGGCTACATGAAAAAATGTAGGATTCTAGTGAAGACCTTGAACAGAGCAAGTTTAGATGGGACAGTGAGATGAGACTGATCTTCAAATGAGTGGATGAGGAATTATACCTACAAGTTATATCTTCAGCTCACCTACTTGAGTAATTTCATTGTCACCAATGTCATACCTCTGTATGTAGCATAGTGGTTATCTCTGCCTGTCTGCGACACCAGAACATCAAAACATTAAAAATGTTACCCTTTTGGACTGCATTGCCTAGAATCTCTAAACTCAAATATCTTGAGTGACACTGGCCATGCTGACTGAAGGATTCTGGGAGTTGTTGTCCAACAAGGTAATTCTTTCAATCTTAGCATTCTGTCTCACCAAACCAGCTGAATTTGCCTTTTGGCACTGAAGCTGTGTGCCTTCTCTTTGTCGCATGTTATCAGGGCCAAGAACTATAACCTAGCACCAGGCTTGAAGTCATGAGATGGAATTAAGAAGATAAGAACAAGTTTAAGCCTTAGCAGTTCAGTGTTAGACAAAATAAACAGACTGCAATTTGAGGACACTATAAAAAAAAGTGAAAAGACTCTATAAAAATGTCAGGAGGTATGTAACATACGCACACACCAGCACATACATGTATAATTTCTTGAATGATAGCCAGTTCACTCTGTGCTAGAGGGTCAGCAGAGAAAACAAGTGTTTGCTTTCTGGGCATTTTTTTTTCGTGTCAGGAGCAGCTTGAGAAACTGCAAGTCGCTTCTGGTGTGAGAGAATTGGCCTTCTGCAAGGACGTTGCCCAGGGGACACCTGGGTGTGCAACCATCCTGTCAAAGGCTTCTCTCATGTCTCTGCATGAGAAGCTAGAGCTGACAGATGGAGCTCAACCCTTCAAATAAGATATGTGCAGCGTACACAGGAATGTGTTCATTTTTTCAAACTTTAGTATAGCCCCAAACAATCTCGGCATAAAACATTTGAGGACACTTGGTTTAGGTGATGCATGGATAGAAGCTTGATATGATTCACAGGCCTGGGTTATATGGCAGGGTGGACTCAGATAACTCAGTTCAAAGCAGATATTATGGGATTTTCTGCCTTGATATTCTGTGTTATAAGGCTGTGTGGAAGGGCCTTCTGTTCTCTCCTCCTTCACCTTGTTGCTCTTTGGGTGTCTGCCACCTGAAGAAACAAGTTCGCTCTGTCTCATGATAGGGCTCTGTGCCTGGAAACAGTTGACTCCCCGGTCTGCTGAACGCAACTATGAACACCTGTTTTCTTGCCCAAGAAACAGTTATATGGCCAGTGCAGGAAGCTGCCCTCGCAGGCCAGCCTTCGCATTGACAGGAGTAACATAATAAGCCTTCTCTCCTCCTTCTTCCTCCCCTTCTATACTCTTTTTTGCAGGGCTCTCTCTGGTGGTGGGCTTGGTCTTGTACATCTCCAGCATCAATGATGAAGTGATGAACCGTCCCAGTGGCTCCGAGCAGTATTTCCAGTACCGCTACGGATGGTCCTTTGCTTTTGCTGCTTCTTCCTTCTTGCTCAAAGAGGTACAGGAGAGAAGGCAATGCTTCTTGCTTTCCCGGATGCAGCACATTTATGTATGGATCCACACACACACCTGCATGCAGTCTAAAATGAAAGAACTAGATTTGGGTGGGAAGTTTGTTTTGGCCAAGGTGGCCACATTGAGTTTCAGAGAAGCTCACTGGAGCAAAGGGAAAAAGATGGTACCCAAAATATCATCATCTTGTAGCTTCTAGCTTAAATCTGTTACTGCCAGTAACCCCTCAACCCAAGATTGACGAAACCCTACAAACTGAGATCCCACAAATCCCGCAGGACATGAGGTTCCCTACCTCAGACTCTGGGTCAGTATGGAAGCAGGTGTTGCTTTTTAGTTTCTGATCTTAAAGACTGTTAAGCCCAAGATGGATAAAGAGTCCCTTGTGTGCACAGACCCTTTGAAGAGGAGGCCATGGAAGCTTGAGTCCCTTCTATAATTAGGGTGAGAACCCTGAACCAAGATCTGGTAAAATTAGCAAACAAGGCCCCTTCCACATATCTGAATGAAATCCCACATTATCTGCTTTGAACTGGAATATATGGCAGTGCGGACTCAGATAACCCAGTTCAAAGCAGATATTGTGGGATTTTCTGCTTTGATATTCTGGATTATATGATTGTGTGGAAGGTCCACAAGACTTCTATGGAAATGAACTTCTGGAATTTTAATTGGAGGGACACTAAATGATCAGCCACTAAGAAATATTAAGATACTTATTATTGTTTCGCCTTCCCAGGAATAATTTAAGCTTATTTCAATCAATTTGAAACACGCCTATTAGGAGTAAACTACACTGAACACATGAAGAGCACTTCTAAGTATACACATGGTGCCTTCAGGAATTTTCATATTTAGGTTTGTTTGAACAGTAACGCAGCCCAATAAAAAAAAAATCTCGATGTCTTGGTTTTTAGGCCTGTTCCTGGGGTTATTTGGCATTCTGATGGATAGACTGCATCAGCTCTCATTTCTTAGATACGGTTATCATGATTTCTTTTGGGTGAGCAAATGAAGACTGGTATATGGCATGTGTTCTGTATCTCAAAAACTATAGCTGATATGGGGAAACTGGTGGCCTTTTTTGAGTCAGCAGCAGGTCAAATATACCAAAAACAGGCTTAGCATTTGAGGCACCAAAATGTGTATTAACCAGTGTGGTAGAAAGGGAAAATCAATTGCCATCCCTTAGCAAGTACATACTTTGCAAGTATGTAAAGGTAATAATTGTTTGCAACCTTGTAAATTGTTTTGGGGTCCTTGGTTGTGTAGCTCTCATATGATTGATTTTCATCCACTAGCTATTTTGAAAGATTAAGCTGTTTTTAAATATCTAAAGCAGACATGGACAAACTTTTTAACTTGGGAGCCTCATGGCAGGCTGGAGCGGGGTGGGTGGGTGGGCAGGAGGGAGGGGTTCTTTCCAAGCCCACTCCCTGCCCTTTCCTCCATTTCGTCTTCTCTTTCGGAGGCAGAAAGTGAAGGAAAAATGGGAAACGTTTGGCTCTCAAACATGTTAGCCTTAGTCAGAATGAGATGGTGGACAGGAGATAAAAAGTGTCTCCATTAGACCCCGTATTGCCTACTCCTGATATAGAATCCTAGAGCTGGAAAAGAACCCAAGGGTCATCCAGTCCAACTCCCTGCCATGCAAGAAGGCACAATGAAAGCACTCCCGATAGGCATCATCTGTGGAAAAGCCCCCAGAGAAGGAGACTCCACTACACTCCAAGGCAGCCTATGTCACTCTCCAACAGCTGTCACTCTCAGGAAGTTCTTCCTACTCTTTACAGTCAACTCTCTTTCCCTGCCATTCCAAACCATTGCTCCTTTGTGCTCTGGTCTCCAGAGCAGCAGAAAGTCAGTTTTCCCGCTCCTACTCAATGGGAACCCTATCTTGAAACATGGTTTTCATATTCCCTCTCTTCCATCTCTTCTCCCAGCTAAATATCCCCAAAGAGGAAAGAAAAAGAGAAGGAAGGCAGGAAGGCAGGCAGGCAGGCAGGCAGGAAGGAAGGAAGGAAGGAAGGAAGGGGAGAAGGATGGAAGAGTAGAGAGGAGGGAGGAAAGAAAAGGAAGGAAGGAAGGAAAAGGAAGGAAGGAAGGAAGGAAGGAAGGAAGGAAGGAAAAGGAAGGAAGGAAGGAAAAGGAAGGAAGGAAGGAAGGAAGGGAGGGAGGGAAGGAGGGATAGGATGGTGAGAGAGAAGAGGGCCTGAGAAAATAGCCCAAGGGGACACATCTGGCCCTTGGGCCTGGATTTGCCCATACCTGTTCTAAAGGGATATCATGAAGAAGAGGAGCCAGTTGTTTTCTGCTGCTCCAGAAACTGAAACATGAGGCAGTGGATTCACATTATGTGTACAAGGAAAAAATTAACCTAAACACGAAGATTTTTTTAAAATTGTAAGAATGGCTCTACAGTTAAATAGCTTGGCTTGGAGGGTGGAGGACTATTCATCTTTGTAGCTCTACATGTACAGTTTAGATGGGCAATTTTCAAAAATCCTTTAGTTGAGTATTGCTGTGTGGCAGGGATTGGACGAAATGGCCCTTGCAGTCCTTCCAACTCTAAGATTCTGTGTTTCTCTGGCATTAGGGTTGCAATTTATGAGAGTCTGATTGTGTCTCAAGGGTTCCTGCTGACCATCATCTCAAAGCAAAATACCCCATTCCCTGAAGCCCACTTATTCCATTTTATTTTATTTTTCAGCTGTCATTCTACATGAAAAGTGTATAAAGTGTGACCACAGGCAGCTGCCAAGACTGTTTTAGCAGCCCTTAGCAGCTCCCTCAATTTCCCCTTTTCTAGCAAAAAAAGTGGTATTTTTGTTTGTTTCTGGAAACCTCCCAGACTAGCACTTTGCCTGTCAAATAGGCTGGAAGCTCCCCTTCCCCATCCCCATTACTTAGCCTTTTTTCCAAGCCAGAAAGGGATTTTCAGCCATTCTTGATTTTCTGTTATGAGAGTGTTGGCATTTGTTGTTCTGGGAGTAGAAGATTGGTCTCTGAAACCCCCACAATTGGCTTCTTTCTATGCTCATTCCTCATTGTGCAGTTTTGTTCTGTTTTCCACTTTGTAGAATGGGAAAAATAACCCTTTAGGTCACTTTAAAAACTTTTTTGTTACTGCAAATTTGGCTCCCAAGACATGTGGATATCTCAGCAGGTCTGTTTTGAATCCAATCCTCCAGACACTAGCTTTGAACATTTACAACCACTCTTCATGCAAATTGACGGAACATGTGGCTTTTCCATATAAGTCAGAATTCGATTTATCTTGGATTTAGTTCTGAGAAGGTATTTAAAGTCTATCCTTGCTGCTCCTTCAGCCTAAGAGATAGGGTACTTTTAAATTGGAACCAAAACCAGTCTTAACCTTGCCTGTGATCTTTATATTGAGAGTGGGCTACCTTGCAAGATTGCTGTCCATCATCAGAGTCGCTTGCTAATAGGACTTTTATACTTCTGTGTAGTACAGGCATGGGCACACTTTGGCCCTCCAGGTGTTTTGGACTTCAACTCCCACAATTCCTAACAGCCTCGGGCCCAGGCATGTAGGGGGGGGGGGGGGGGCTTGGGGGGCTTCAGCCCCCCCCCCGAAATTCTCATGGTGGTTCGCGAAAAGGCCTTACTGGTGCATTATTTAAACGGTTATGTTTATTCATATCATGATCTGATCACCATACTCAATATATCCCATATGCATGGGGGTATTGGGGTAATGATACAAAAGGTTTGCTAGGCTAGACCCTCTTTCACTCAGCTCACCAGCCCCCCCCCGAAACTCAACCCCCCCTGAAAAAAATTCTCCCCCCCCCCCCCGAAACGAAATCCTGGCTACGGGCCTGCTCGGGCCCCTTCCTTTTGCCCCTCAGCCGCTTAAGTGGCTGAGGGCAAAAAGTAAAGGGCCCAAGACTGTTAGGAATTGTGGGAGTTGAAGTTCAAAACACCTGGAAGGCCAAAGTGTGCCCAGGTTGTTGTAGTAGAGTCAAACTGCTTAACACCTGGTAACTACTGTGGACTACACTGCAGTGTAACCCTTGAGAATCTACAATATGGCAGGAATGAATTTGGAATTGGCATGACATAATTGCTGCTTGAATGGCTCACACTAAATCAGAATTTAGGGGGGGAAACAGGAACCCTTCTCATGGTATCAGTCTGTGGGCAGGCATGTTGGGGCCCAATCCCAGTTCCATCTGTAAGCCTGATATCTCCATCCCCTTCCACGCAGCTGTATACAATCCACGTTGAACTGGATTATATGGCAGTGTGGACTCAGATAGCCCAGTTCAAAGCAGACATTGTGGATTATCTGTCTTGGTTTTCTGGTTATACGGCTGTGTGGAAGGGCCCTCAAATGTCTCTGGCCTGCTCTTCCTTCCTGAGACATTTGAAAATGACTTCTCACTATGATCTAGGACAGTGGTTCCCAACCTTTTTTTGACCAGGGACCACTTTGACCAGGGACCACTCTCCAACATTAGTACCAAAAGGGTTACGAATCAGTTTTTGATCAACTTTAGATCTGGTTTGGTTATTTGGGGTGCTGATTCAGAAAATTTATTTGGATAGACCACATCAGCTCTAGTTTCTGATACAGAATATATGCCATCCAGTAGTCACCATCTGCTCACCTACAGAAAACCATATTTAATAATCCTCGGCACTATAAGAGGGTTTTGCAAGACCAGTCACTCTCATTGCAACAATGTAGTAACGGTGAGGCCGTGAACCATATTTTTGTTCTTGCAGACTACTGGTGGTCCATGCACTACAGGTTAGGAACCACTGATCTAGGACATGCACTTTTCAGCCAATTATATGGTTCTCTCTGTCCTTTTAATCTATGGACATCTCTTCATCAATCTTCTTTGTCCATTTCAGAAAAAGATGGAAAGGCAAGGCTAAGGTAGAGATAGACAGACGTAACTGCCCACAGCTTCCACTCTTCTTCTTTTCCGTGCTTCTTGTTTTCTTTCTCAG